GGAAAAGGGGAGAGGGCTGTGCAACACAGAGAAGACAAGTAGTGATTCTACAACATCTTACTATGCTGATGGACAGTGACTGTAATGGGGTTTGTGGGGGGGGGACTTGGGGTAGGGGAGAGCCTAGTAAGCATAATGTTTTTCAAAAAAATAAAAATAAATTAATTAATTTAAAAAAATGAGAGTTTCTAAAAAAAATAATAGCTTTACTTATTAAACTTTTTTAATGAATACTATTTTTTCCAGCTTTACTGAGATATATTTGACATATAACATTGTGTAAGTTTAAGGTGCACAAGGTGATGATTTAATATATGCATATATTGTCAAGTGATTACCACAACAAGGTTAGGTAACATATTCATCACCTCAAATAGTTACCTTAGTGTGTGTGTGTGTGTGTGTGTGTGTGTGTGTGTGCGTGGAGAACATTTAAGATATGCTTTTAGCAACTTTCAAGTATACAATGCAGTATAGTTAACTATAGTCACATTGCTGTACAGTAGGTCCCCAGAACTTATTCATCTTACTACTGGAAGTTTGTACCCTTTGACCAACATCTCCCTTCCCCTCCCCTCAGCCCCTGGAACTACCAATCTATTCTCTATTTTTTTAAGTTTGCTTCCCACATATAAGCAAGATCATACAGTATTTGTCTCTCTAATGAGCACTTTTCACTTTCCTGATCTTTATTTTCCATTTCTGTTGGCCCACAGGTTGTCCTGAATAAGCTAGCAGGTTGCCTAAAGCTGTGGTTTTGTTACTGAAATTTTACTACTCAAGGCAACAGGAATAATGAAGATGTCAGCCATGGATTCTCCAAAACTAAATGTGGTTGGAAGATAGATCTTCTTCTTTAGCTATAATGGTCAAGTCAGACTATATGATTCCTGATTTTCTTATCTTTAAAGTGAAGATGATGATAATTCTCTCTGGAATTGGGAATTGAGTGAAAATGTTTTAAAGCACTGTTCATGATGTCTGACTTCACAAGTGGTTTCATCAGCATCAAAACTGAAGCTCTGAGCAAGCTTGAGTAGAACCTAAATACTTTGATATAAAACCTGGTTGACTATCCTGCTATCCTGTCTGTGTTACTGGAGCTCTGTAGACACCTTCTGTGGCTCCTCCTGAGTAGATGGTTTCCCTTGATGCCTGCTTCATGCTGAGGTCCAAAAAGTAGCCTGCAGAATCATGCATCTAGTATCTGAGTCATGCTCCTCCACTTATTTAACTTGGACAAATATTTTAACCTTTTATAATCACCCTTCTGTTCAGCATTAAAATAACAATAATAGTATTTTTTTCCTGTTTGCTTTGTAGCTTTAACAATTTAAATAAAAATGATATTTTCTATATGGCAGTGTGTTGAAATCAAAAGTCTTGAACCTGAACTGCTGTTCTTCTTCAGGTACATATCAGATCTCCATGTTCATGGTCTAGAATTTTAAGTTTTTCCCCCTCTTTATTTTTATCTTTGAATTATCAAAATATAAAAATTCTGTATTTAATAGAGATTCTGTGTTAAATCTTAGAGGATCCACATAATTAGAAAATGCTCTATTATCTTTAAATTATTTAAGGAAACTGTCAAAAATGCTTATGTGCTAGAAGCTGACAAATGTTTTACATGAAATATATATATGTATACATATATTATACATATATGTTTTACATATAATATATATATATATTCACAACAGCCCTATGGAATAAGCTATGCAATCATCCCCATTTTACAGATGAGAAAAATGAAACTTCAAAGTTAGGTATCAAGAATATATATATAGTTAGGTATCTAAGATCACAAATCTAATAAACTGTGTAACTGCAATGCAGAATTAGTGCCTAAATACACACAAGTAACATGAAATGAATAAGGGAAAAATCTACTTAGTGAGTCATAAGGGAGCTGTAAAGATTTTGAACAATTATATAATCTATTATTTTAATAACTGTTTTATATCAAAAAGTTACATTCTAACCTATTTGGACAAAAGCCTAGAATATAAAGATTATTTTTAAATTTTATTTACTTGAAACAGTGACTACAAACTCAAAAAAGATAACACATTTTGACTGGGCAAGGGAAGTTTTGGAAATAGCCACAGAAAATTTTTTTACAATAATTGGACGCTTCAGAAGGTAAATATTAAATATTGTTTGTTCATTCTGATAGAAGATACATCAAATATATACAAAGTTCCTAGTAGAATTTGATATGATACAAAGCACATTGGTAGCATTTTCATGTCTTATAATTTGGGCAGAATTAGAAAATAAGACTGTTCAGCTGTTGTTGGCTCTTGCCATTTATGTTACGAAATTATTAACTGTTAATATATTAGATCAGATATAGACAACAATTTAATAGACTAGGTTGAATATAGATATAGGAGTCAGTGATTATTTATAGGTGCTTATTAGAGTCACAACAACAATAAAAACATTCAGGTAGTAATTTTTGAGAGAGAAGAGGGGATGGAGGTCGAACTCTGTGAAGGTTACTTTGAAGGGATGTGTGGCCAAGGAGCTCATGAAAATGATTTAAAAACAAAGACAATTCTAACTCTTGGCCAGAAGGGGGAGGAATTCTGACACAGTATAAAATAGTACAGCCACATTGGAAACTGCTCAGCAGTTACTTAGGTAACATATACTTACCCTATGATGTGGCTCCGCTTCTTGGTATTTACTCAGAGAAATCAAAACATGTTTGCAAAAGGTCTTGTGCAAGAGGGTTCACGGCAGCTTTATTCCTAATGGACACTGTTGGAAACAATGCAAGCATTCTTCAGTAGAATGAATAGAGAAACTATGGTACATTCTTACAGTGTAATGTACAACTTAGCCATAACTTGAATGAATCACAAAAGCATTGTGTTGAGTAAAAGAAGCCAGACACAAAAGAATATTCAGTATATGATTTTATTTATTAAAGTTCCAGAGCAGGTAAAATTAATAGATGTTGATAGATTTTTTTTTTTTGAAATAGTGGTCTAGTATGAGAGTGAGAGACTGGATTGACTGGAAAAGAGCAGAAAGGAATTTAGTAGGAGTGATGGAAAAGAGGGGTGGTGGTTACCAGGCATAGATTTATATAAAACTTATCAAACTATACACTTAACATCTGTGTGTTTAAAAGTGTTACCAGACTATAATGGTAGAGTAGATAAGGTTGTAAAGTTGGAGATGTGGTCATGCATGGATTCTAGATTTAGGTTGTGAATTAAGGTTGTTATTGTAATACATTTAGATAGGTAGCACCCAGTGGAGAAGGTTGGTAGGGAAAGTCTTGAGGCTATATCGTGGATTTCCAAATCTAAACAAAGCTTATTTTAGAGAAATTATTCTACATACAAGTTTTCTGGTCAAACCTGTTCAAAACTGAACTGCTTTTTCTGCTTTGCCTTTTTTCACTGGCCTAGAATGGGGAGACTGGGATACCAGGGTTAAAACAAACAAAACAGTTATTTGCATGTATTCTAGTGACAAACTGTGCACCTTTTTCTGCTTTTTTTACTGAAGTGTAGTTGATATACAATGTTATTTTGGTTTCAGGTATACAACATAGTGATTCAACAATTGTATGCATTACAAAATACTCCTCATGGTAAGTGTGTAATCTGTAAACTTTTGTCTTCCTAACTCTGGTAACAAAAAAGTGATAGAGTGTACTGTTTTATAATGTACTTTGAAAATGTGGAATATTTCATTGATAGTTACTATAGCATTCGGGTTTTCAGACATAGATGTTGCTTAAGAATACTTTAACAAGATTTAACTTCTTCCTGAAACAGATTGGATTCTGAAAAATGAAAAATTGGGAAATTTATTTTTAAGCTGAGTCATTGGTTCTGTTAAAACTATCTAAACTAATAAGATCTTGTTAATATTGCCTAGAATAAAGGAATAAATTTAGCATGCTTAGATTAATGCAAATGATTCTATTGAAATATTTATTCTGGAAATAACTTCTTAATGTTTAATTGCATCATTTTATTTATGTAATATCCATTATAGAATTTTATATGTTAATATTATATTTATATAATGCCCATTTTTTCAAAGTATTTATTATTGTAACCCCTTAATATTGCTAAACTCTTGGCTATAGCTTGATGCTTAGAGTTTTGCAGTTTTCCCTGGTCCTGCTTGTCTTCACTGTGTAGCTATACAGAATATCTATGTTGTGCTCATCTAGCCTCTTTAGTCACTGACCATCTGTTTTTCTCCTTCTTACAGAAACGTTGAATATTTGCTGTGTTTCAGAATGTGTTCTAAATAATAGCATGAATTACTTTCTATAAATTTTTCAGTAATCTTGTGAGCTTATTCCTAAGTGGTAAATATCTGCATTTTATCAGACATCTTGGTGTTTGACTCCCTAAGTCATGTGCAATATTAAGAGGTCGGATACCCACTGACCAATAACTGGTCAGTCAACTCACCAATTTAAGGAAAAACATAAAGTATAAGATGAAGGTAGAATAGGTGATTATTGGGTGATTTTTCCATAGGAATAAGTAGCAGATTATATTACTAAACACTAGAAAAGCTGTGGTCCTAGGAATTGTGATCAACTTTAAAGCTGAAAAAACTAACCAGATTTGTTTGAAACCAGTTAGTACATATTCATTTGTTTATTTATTCATTCACTCACTCACTCACTCATTCATTTCTCTTCCCATACACATACACTCACACACATCAACACACACATCTATCATTTTTCTGTTTTTTCAAAATTTCAGCTGAAGGTTCAAAGCTGAGAATATAAATAAAAAGTGCTTCTATACTTACAGGTGAAAGAAGGAAACTTAACATTTTCTGAGTACTCTGTATGAGTCACATGTCTTACATGTGTTATTTTATCTAGTCCTTCAGAGCATTCTAAAAGGTAGGCATTGTTATCTATATTTTATACCTGAGAAAACTGAGACTCAAACAGGTTAAGTGACTCTCTGAAGGTTCAAAACCAGGTTGAAAGTCAAATCTGATGATATCCAAAATCTATGCCTTGTTCTGTCCAGGGTGTTGCCTCCACAAACCAGCATTCACATTCTTTAGTATGTCTCCTTTTGGGTGAGGACAGACATCTCCCTCTGTAGCTGTGTCATATTGGGAGCATGTATTTCATGATATCTGCCACGAAATAATTTTGACTCTGATGGGGAGTGCATCAGAAGGAATCTAGACTGGGGGACATAATGAGATATGTTTAAGTTAGGTAGAAACTTTATCAGCCTCAATCACCCACATTCATAAATCCAATGACAGTATATCTTGACTCTCATTGATGACACCATTTTCCAGCACAGTCCTTTGTTAATGCAATTATTCAAATGATTCATTGATACTGGCTTTATTCTCATTGTTATTACTTTCTAGATTATGCAATGATAGGATATTTGAAAAGAAATATAATTTTGTAAAGACAGGACTTATTAAATGATTGGATTATTTTATTATTTATTCATATGATACTATTTATAAGTAAAAAGAAATTCAGGAGAAGAGCCATAATATTTTGTATATTTCGAAGAACTGATATTAACACTGAGGAAGCAAATAACCTAAAATGATATCCAGAGTTGTGCCACATCTTTTTCTCTAAAAAATAAGATAGAAAAGCATTTTAGTATGATTAAACTATTTAGTGTACAATTCCCCAGATATTTTCTAAAATTGTTTAATAAAGGAATAGAAAACTACTTCCTCTAGCACTGATGCCAGATAGAATGAAGGTCATACTAACCTGAAATCCCTTTATGATTTCTCATTCAATGACTTGCATTAACTTGCATTGTGCAAAATGTGACATTATAGAAGAGACTTTTCTGAAGAGATGCTAAAACTATTCAGGTCTGATAGCATTTTTTTTTGAGAGGGCATCTCTCATATTTATTGATCAAATGGTTGTTAACAACAATAAAATTCTGTATAGAGGGGTCAGTGCTCAATGCACAATCATTAATCCATCTCAAGCCTAATTCTCGTCAGTCTCCAATCTTCTGAAGCATAACGAACAAGTTCTTACATGGTGAACGAATTCTTACATAGTGAATAAATTCTTATATGGTGAACAGTACAAGGGCATTCATCACAGAAACTTTCGGTTTTGATCATGCATTATGACCTATAAACAATCAGGTCAAATATGAATATTCGTTTGATTTTTGTACTTGATTTATATGTTGATCCCACATTTCTCCTATTATTATTATTATTTTTATTTTTAATAAAATGCTGAAGTGGTAGGTAGATGCAAGATAAAGGTAGAAAACATAGTTTAGTGCTGTAAGAAGGCAAATGTAGATGATCAGATGATCAGGTGTGTGCCTATGGACTAAGTATTAATCCAGGCTAGACAAGGGCAGCAAGACATCCACGGATGCAGAAGATTTCTCTCAAAGCAGGGGGGGTGAGGTTCTGAGCCTCACCTCTGTTGATCCCCAAATTCTCACCTGATGGCCCCCCTGCGACTGTGCCTGTCTTAGGTTGTTCCTCCCTTGAGGAATCTTACCCGTCTCTGGCTAACCAGTCATCTTCCGGGGCCATACAGGGAAATGTAAAGTTGGTAAGTGAGAGAGAAGCCATATTGTTTGCAAAGGTTAGCTTTTTACTTCTTTGCAGATTTATGCCCTGTGGCTTCTATGCCCAGCACTTGTCTCGAGGTATCTTTACCACCTGGAGGAATTATGATACTCGGTAAATTCGATATGAGGCACGAATTCTATTTAAGGGTTGTAATTAGGAAGGAAGAAGAAAAGCTATAGATGTAGCATATGAAGGAAACTTGGGAGGATTGATTATTTCTTTGACATATCTTCTTGTATAGTACCTTAAGTATGTATAGGTTTTAAACTACTAACTAATTTGCACACACATATTAACATAATAGGAATACGGTGACATAAACAAAGCAAATCTATAATTACCAGCCATCTCCAGTGAAGCCAAGAAAACCATTTAGGCACCCTAGGCATTTGTGAAAATTTATCTATGATATGATGGATATTGTCCAACTGTACTTGAACCATCAGACAAATTAAAGCAGCCCATTTCTGGGATCTGTTCACATCCCATATGTTCTTTTAACCATAGATAGTCTATAGTCATGAGATTTTGGGGTGCTACAACTTGCACCCCTCCCAACTCCTGGTTGAGTTCCAACAGTACAGATCCAGTCAAATTCGTTGTCTCACTGTATGCACATGCCAGCCTAGACATCTCCCTCCTCCTTCTTATGGCAAGTCCAGGAGACGGTGGGCTGGATGCAGCCACAACCGCAGCATCGTCCGGATCCCTGTGGAGGCTTTTTGATGATCATCCCCCGGCACGAGTCCTCCAGAGAGTGCTGATGCCGGAAGCTCCTCCTCATATCGTATCTTAGTTCATTTTCTGGGTATCCAAGCTAGGCCTTGATCTTCTGCGTAGAAACAAACAGACCCTTTGCCCACACTTTGACATGCCCTCTATACCACTGTGCAGAACTCATTGGAGGTCAGCACACAGTAACTGCTTTTTTTTTTTTTTTTTAATAAGAGAAAGGAATATTATCAGAAAAGAGTACCTCCATAGCTGATCATCTGACACCCTTTAAGTGATCAACATTAAGGATATTTAAAGCATGCGTTGATCTTTGATTTACCAATAGTTTTATCCTGTTAAGGAGTAATCCCCCTTTTCTTTCTTTCTTTCTTTTTTTTTTTTAAATTTTTAATCTACACTTACCTGAAGAATACT